TTGTGGATGGGTAACCTTCACTTATGACTTCTATGATCCAAAATAGTTCAATATTTTAACAGGTAAAAACTATACTAAATATCCAATCAGGCAAAGAAATGCTCTCTATTTCAACACTAAAACTTGAACATGTTTCCAGCATACTTTATTTTGATGCTTACCAGACAAAGAATAATATTTTAGAGAATAAAAATTTCCAAAGTAATTACAGGTTCAGATTGTTTCAGATTCTTTCTTCGCCACTATTTACATTCCTGAATACACTTTAGTGAGAGAAATGAGGAATAACCAAAGAAAGAGTTGCTCCTTGAACTGATTTTTAATAAGAAAAATCACCATATAATTCATAAGAAATTTGAAAACAACTGTTAAATATAAATGTCATTAATATTTTACACTAAACTACAGTCACAGCACTTCTTGTAAAACCTCTTCAAACTCTCAGAGAGAGAGAGAAGCAAAGATTGCAATTCCTGAAGACCATGTAAATGTAACACAATCTGGAAAAGTGAAATGCTGGAGGGTACGTGATTCAGTCATGTTGCATGACAAAAGAGAGGAAGAACATACAAGGAACGGGCACTAGTGATCGTAATCCCTTTGTATGGAATTAACTGAAGCATGGAAGAGCCATTTGCTATATCTCTTCCATTCCTGCGACACTCTCTCCCACCTACCCTAAAACTCAGAGGGGTCCTTCCACCACCACTGTGCCCTAAGGAAGCTTTACGGAACCCTGAAAACTGCAGCAGCAGCTTGGGCTAAAACCCCTCATGGCACCACAAGTTACCCGCTGTCTGCCATACGGTCTGATCACATCCCACCCAACCCTCTCCAACCCTTAGCCAGACAGGGCCGAGTCAGCAGAGCAGAAAGTCGCAAAAGGAGGCTCAGCAGGAGATATCAATTGCTGCTAACAGCTTTAAATGCTTTAACACGTACCCGGTGCCAGAAATACGGCACTAACTGAAGATGCAGCCGTCAGCTATCAAGATAGCAGACATTCTGGACTTGGAGAGAGGAGATGAGGTGAACGTTACTATTCCACCCTAATTCTGTCCAGGATGCAGAAAGCGTGGCTCAAAAAGGACCATGATTTCGACAATCATAGCATTTCCATTTGGTAGAGTGTGGAAAGCCATGAGCTAATGAATTTTGCATTAGTGACAAAGCTTGTCCAATTAGCCTGCAATGTTTGAGAAGCAGCATAAAACCCAACCCTGCAAAATTTAACAAAAGGCAAATAAATCACAGAGTATCTGCTTTTTTTTTTTCTGTAGAAGTGTATCCCTGGCAAAACCAGGGTTTTTTTTCCCCTCATCTCATTCACTTAACTTTTTCACCTCTTACACTTGCCTTGGAGAGTTTCAGTTCTATCCCAGAGCAGAAACACAATACCTCAACACAAGAACGTGCCAGTGCTGATGAAGGCTTCCATATCGCTGTCTAAACATATCAACTGTTCTATCAACTTGCACATCCCTTGGTTAGCAACACATTCATGCCCACTCCCCGCACCAATTCTTGGGCCTTTTTAGGCTTTTTACTGAATGGTGCCAAGCTGACTTAAGGTCCCACAGACACGCACAACTGCTCACGTCAGTGATGCCACACTCCAAATACCTAGAAACTCTTCAAGCCTGCAATGGCCCCTGGGCAGCCACCTACTCCTAAAGGGACTTTCAACAAGAGACGAAAACAGCAAACATATCCCATAATACTAGAGCAGAGTAAATGGCCCGTGGAGCTTGGGATTTGTGATAGCGAAATTACAGACTGTAACAGAGCAGAACTGCCTGCATCCGTTGACTTGAATCCTTCTCTTTATAGTGAGTTTCTCAATAACTGGGGTTTTTCCTGCTAGGTAAATGGGCAGAATTCAATCTTTATCAGTTTGATGAGTAAGATTTTATTTATTCATACTTCTGCCTATACATCATTACTTCTCATAGTCCACAGCACTTCCCCTAAAGGGACAGAAAGGATCCCCCTAGGTGGTAACTGAAATCTCTTTGCTCTTCAGTCTCAGCACTCCTCCCATTTACTTCTTACACGCCTACCTGAAAAATCCCTTAGAAAAATAGTTCAAAGATGTTTATCCAAACCTGTTGAGACCTTCACGTAACAACTTTATGGCAATAACTACCCACTCGTTTCACAGATTACACATTCAAATGCCAATTTTGTTAATTATTTCAGAGCTCACCTGCAGGAGGAGAGTGGAGGTACGGGACTGTGAAATCAGCACTAAACAGCTAGAGTTTGGGTTGGATTTTTCACACCACTATCTAGCCGAGTAGTTAAGAACAAATTGCTTCATTTTAATAAAGACATATCTGTTTTCCACAGTTCAGAAAATATTCCAACATTGCTTTTTATTTTCCTCTCTCTCAGTTATGCTGTGCACGAGAGGATGTTCGGGAAAACATCAGTGAAACCAGTCACGCCTGTTAACGCACAAAATTATCTAGAACAGAAAAATTTTTAAATAGTTACTGTCTATTCAGCTAGCAAGCATCATCTCCATGTAACGGGCAGGTGAAGCAAGTGACCAGGTAAATTTGCCCGCTAGCATTGTGCAAAGGGACAGAACACAAGTTCCCTTTGCCCTCTGCACTGCTCATTGGTACCTATCTGCTGGGCAGAAACCACTTGCCAGAGCCGGTTCACGATCTGCTAGCGGTGTGCCAATCCGGCAGTGCTGTCAGAGAGGCAGCACAGGAGCCGAGAGACTCGATAGCCTCTGAGGACCCACCAGGGGATTCTCCAAGCTCCCCTTTCCGGGTCCCTGCCCGTGGCGGCGTGGCCGGGCAGTGACCTGATGCTGCTGGCAGCCCGCCTGAGCTTACCTTGCTTGACACTGCCGAGGGAATTACAGAGTGCTGAGGAGAAAAGGGAGGAAGGCTCCAGAAGCAGCTTTTAATTTTCCACAACTTTCGTTGCGCTTCTTCCTCTTAGCGCAAGCCTTCCACATGGTCTCACTTCTGTTTGCCCACATGACTAACAGACTGCATGCACCGAAGGCAGCCGGGACAAAAACCAATCACACGGGCATCTCCCAAACCTCCCAATCTCTCCTACACTGCTCTCTCTCAATGCAGCTTTTATTCTACGTTCTTCCTATCTACAACGAAGATGCTAAAATAATTAAAGCAACAATTCTTCTACTTTGGATAAGCTTGTTAAGAGTGCTTTACGCTGAAAACCATGACAAATGTACTCTTTTATTATTTACACAAATGACTTTTAGAGCATTTTCCCGATGGACTGTTATTATTACTTGATAATAGTAATCTGAAATGAACATAGCATGAAAATCTTGAGAAGAGAAATTTTATAACTAAATGAGACAAAACTCTTATAGCACAACAGCATGATTCAGACAAGACGACAGCAATATACTGAAGTAATAATGTCACTGTTAGCTCTTTCAAAATAGAAACAGTAGAAAAATCCAACCATCTCAAGAACAAAATGAGTGTAATCACTTTCTGAATCCTTATCTGTTGGAACCTTAACAAATATGATAAAACAAACCTCTGCACATAATTGGTAGATATTTGAGATGAGGACATCATCTTGTCTGTTAGAGCCTGAGGGGGAAGGCAGTTAGGGGGACAACTTTCATAATCCTTTGGAATAAAAGTTTTCTCTACTTCATCTCCAAAAAAATTAAAGAAAATCAGCTAGTTTAATTATGGGAATAACCTAGAGGGAGCACAAACGCTGTTAGAATTTTTGGTCCATGACGCAAGCCTGAATAAAATACTAACAAAACAAAACAAAAAAATCCATTATCTTGGCTCAGAATATTTTGTTTCAGTGTAAAAAATGGTCTTTTAGAAGCATGAAGAACACAAGGCTGTTCCCCTCCCTCCACCCTCCAATAAACAGATGTGAAAGCCTGGTTGCTTCCTTCAGATTAAAATGTCCTAATACAAATATACATCTTATCCTAACTTAAAGCACGGGTGGTGTGAACGCAGATTTTGTAAATCACATAACTTCAAGTTTGATAGTGAAACTTCCATTTGTTGATTTAATATTTTTCAGTACTAAACTCACACAATTCAAATACAGTCAATTACAGATTGTTAATTTTAAAATGTTTACATTTCAAGTACTCCACCATCTATGCTCTTTCAAGAGCCATTTGAATTGTCCCTTTGATACCGTGTGCATGGAAAGCAACTCAGAAGTAAAATACTTTTACACTTTGAGACTCAGCAGTGAAAAGCTGGTACAACAAAACACGACTAGGTATTCCTTCCAGAACTGAAAATATTTGAAACAACACTCTTAGCTGTAATTTCAAGGTACTTAAAAAGAAACAAAAAAAAAGCTCTGCAAGAAACACACCCTTCATTAGGTATTTCAGTGAACGGACTCTGGCCTTTCTGCAGCACTGAGATATACTAGATATACCTATATTAATGTTTAATAAAGTTTTTTAAAAGTGAAGATGCTATTAGAAAAGATGATACTAACTCAGATGCAGAATATTAAGAGTCCTCTACCACTGAAACAGAATCACATTGTATTTCATGACACAGTGTTTAAATACAGGAACTTTAAAGAACATTCGATGACAGCTGAAGAAAAGCAATCCGATCTAAAGAAGCTGTGGTTTCAAATGAAAAAAGCAGCATCACAAAGGCCACCAAATACCCACTTCTACATTTCACCATGAGATTACAGCTCAGTCATAGAAGTCAAAACATGCATGTTAAAATTCTCAAAACTTCACAAACCCAGCTGTCATTCTCAATTTCTGCTAGCTTAGTCAGCCATCAAGTAGACTAGGAAATGACACAAGCTCATCAGAGCTCAGCTTCCTTAATTCGTTTAAGATTATGCTCACTGACTGACTGTAATAAAAATGTGTATCGAAAGACCCTCTGCAATCTTTTCAGAGATGAGATCAGCTATCAAAATCTACTTCAAATAAAGTTGCATTTGAAAACTAACCAAACCGCAGAAAAAGAACACAGAAACTTTACCTTAATTGGAGCACGGCTAAACTGTATTTTTCTGTTGGCTGGGATTTCATCTTCATCTGGCAATCCATTAATTTCAGAATATTCCATATCAGGTTCATAACAGTTATCTTCATCGCTGTCATCCTGATCATCCTGTTCTGTACCTGTCTCTCCCCAGTCAGAATTATATCTCGATCGTACCCGATACACATTGTAGTCAGAGTGCATGTACACGTGGGAACTCTGAAAATTATTCACATCTTCATGCACTTCTTTTTCACTCGCCTCATCATAACGGGATTCGGTAGCGTCTGAAACAGCATCTGTGGCAAAGTCACCACCTGAAGCTGCATTTCTTGGTACTTCTGAAGCTTCGGGTCTATCAAAGATACCCTCTGCATACTCTGACCTCTCCTTTTGTTGCAACAAAACTTCCGTCTCTGTTTTTGACTTACTCCTAGTACAGCTGTCCACAGATCTTTCACTGTCAAGCACGCTGACCGACTCCTGTTGACTCGCCGCAGAGCTCTCAACAGAATCAGCACTTGCCTCTGTACTCTTCTTTACTTCTTCAGTTGTTCTTGAACCTGCCGAAGTGCCTGTGGACGTCTTCTGTCTCAGTGCTGAAGGTGTGCTGTTCTGCTGAGAGTTCTCGGGGGACACCAAGCCTGTACTCTGTTTGGCTGGCGGAGACCACGCGCTGGTATCTTTCAAAGGGCTGAAACCCTCAAGGTTTGCAACTGGGGAGGAAATATTTGTGACAGGAGAGGAGAGGTTTAGTGGATAGTGACCAGTTACAGAGTACTCTTCATTGTTCTCCGACTTTTCTACAACGATTACGTTGTGTGTGTCAGTGTTTTCAAAAACTGCGCTGAGCTGACTCACAGTTGGAGAGACAGTCTCTGTCCTTGGGCTAAGACTGTCCAGTGAATCAGTGCTACCTCTGTGAGACTTAGAGCTGCACCATTCATCCGGAAGTTCATTGGAAACGACTTTCTCTTTCTTTGGAGAATAGCGATTCGAATGTCCCATTTCATGAGCGTTTCGCTCAAACAACTTCCGAGTTTCAGTAAACTTGGAATAGGAAGGACCATCATGGATAGTATCAAATCTACTAATCCTTTCTGAGACGGATGATTCCAATTTTACAATTGAACCATCTGCTTTTTCCACAAACTCTTTGGGCCTAATTCGTCTTTGAGGTGATGGAGGGCCACCCTTCCCTCTGGTCTTAAGGGTAACTCCAGCACTTTCAGTGGGCTCCATGCCCATCTGCATAAATAAGTTCTTAATCCTATTGACATTTGAGCCATATTTCCTTCCCCTGCTCTGCGAGGCCTCTCCTTCCTCTTTCGTTTTTTGGTCTCCATCTGATTTCGGTTTGTCAAAGGTGCTTTTCAGCGCCTGGAACTCAGTTCTGTAAGCATTCCTGTGAGGAGAGGCACTTCGGAGGGTTGATCTTTCTCCTGAAGACTCTGTTTTCATCATGTTTACTCCAGGAGCACAAAACCAGCTTACATAGTTTCTGTGGTACTGCTCTCAGTAGTCTGTCACAGCTGAGATTCTGCTTGAAGAGTGTTTTTCTCAGGGGGCACTGCCCTTCAGCAGGGCCATGCTCAGCAGAAGATCTGGAGGCAAGTATCTAAAAACATGCAGTCAATTCTGACAAAGCAGCACAACTGAGGACTCTCAAGAACAACGGCTGATTTAACCTGCAATAGAAAGGAAGGCTTTCTGAATCACGTTAGATACTTGTACGTCTTTAAATCTAACCCACAATTTCAACTTACCATTATTTGATGTGTTTACAAAAAATAGTAAAATAAAAATACAACCTAACACTGCACAGACACGTGAAAACTTGTCATTACAAACTTTTTCAAATCAATTGTCGCATAATTTGCAATCTGTAACATGATTCTATAGTTAAAGAATGGATTATCACATCTTACCGTTCACAAAGTATCATGCCACAAACATGCATGCAAAGGAAAGGCAGCGTGACAAGAAAAATAACACTACTTCTGTGGTATGGGACTTTTCTAAAAAATAATAATAAAAAAAAAAATCCCCAAATCAAACCTCTGAGTTACTTACATCTAACTATAGAGTAATTCATGCAAACATGATGGTTCTGCTTCCCTGAGGCACTGCGAGGCAACCCTTACTCTCACAGAGAAACATAATGGTAGGAATACCATCAAACATAATACACTTAGAAAGGCAAAATTAAACAGCAGCTCAACGGAATAAGAAAAACTGCGCCCAAAGTTGACATCCTCAGCTGACACGGTAAAGAAAGTGAAACCCCATTAGAGAAAGTCGCCCCTTGTCACATCCAGCGGTTTTAGCACCTGGAGGTGCCCACGGCGGAGCCGCAGAAACGGACCCGCGGGCCGGACC